AACACTATTATTAAACATTTTTAATATAATATTAATAAATTACCTAAAAATTTTCTAGGTCACTTTCTTTAAAACTTAGTTTATAATCACTTCTTTTACAAGGATTTAGTTATAAAATCTTATTATTTTTTTGGATTTGTCCAAGGTTTGAAATTAATAAATTCAAAACTAATATTACTGGTAGCCAAACTTTCATTATGATATAATTTCTTTTATTACTTTATAGTTGATCTTTAAATTTATGAAATCAATAATATGATATTTACATTTTGCATATGTTCCTTTGGATTATTTTCACTTTAAATTGTAGAAAGCATTTTATTGCACTACATTTCTGCACCTTTGTAATATGGCATGTCACAGATATTTGTATTATTGTTTGTTTCATTCAGAAAAACTTATTTTTTCATTTTCTTCCTTTTTTATATTTACATCCACAAAAAAAGAAGAATTGATGTATTCTTATTACATTCTGTTATATTTGAACAATCGGAAGTGCCATGTCCATAATAATGACAAAGGTAGCAATGAGACCCATGACTTGATACTGGCCAAGGTGAATTGGTTCCTTCCATTATCACCACCCACTGGATCTATATATGGATTACCTGGTATTTCCTCCTTTACAAATATTCTCCTTCAAGTAGTCCAGGTTCATCACAACCTCCTTCAAGAGGTGTCAAATGACAATAGAAGAATAAAATTATGAAACAATAACAAATAAATAAAATTCATAAACAACTTTTATTTTATCAATCAAAACACAATACTACAAAAATACTATGAATGATACATCTGATGAAGGTTTGCAAAATTACATAAATCACGCGCCTTATTTTATCATTTTCAATTTTTAAATTCATAATTTTAGTAGATTCATGAGTCTTCAAGTCACGATTGTTACTATAGGAATATCTTAAAGAAATTTTTTGATTATTATTACTATCAATAATTCACATTTAACAGATCACTATCAAGAGATCTTCTCTAATTTGATATGTGTGTTTAAGTTATATCGAGGTAAGAGGGACAATGATATGTATGTATCCGAAATTCGAAATAAAATTGATTTTGTTTATAACAATTAAAAAGGTATTATTACACTTTTCAAATTTGTGATGTTCCTTTAAGTTCAATGGCATTAATTTTGAAATGTATGTTGCATATAGTCAATGTAATATGTTGCAATATTTTTTATTAGAAATGTGGCTCTCGTAGAAGTGATTTCCGTCAATTTCTTTAGCTTCATCGTTTCAACAAAAAATATTTCAAAAAATTTTTGATGCCAATAAAAGAAATGAAATCTATAAAAATTTGATAATATACTGTATTTTTTTTTAATATACATTTGATATTTAATTTATTAAAAATAAATCAACTTTAGAAATTTGTTTTTTTTTTTTTACAAGTAATGTTTTCAAAAATAATTATTTTCTGACTTTGTTTACAACCAAGAACTCTATGTAAATATCAAAGATCCTTTTTAAAAATACACCTTGAACATTTGATCCATTTTTCAATAAAAAGTAATTAAAATAAAAGTACTTTTTGTATGATTTACAAATGATCGCCAGATTTTACGTTTAAATTAGTGACGTATCCGATGAATGTTGTTATATATTTTTTTTTTATTTTTTGTCTCCTTACAAAGAATTAATAAAAAGAAAAAAAATAATACACCGCCTCCCAAAGATATAAACAAAAGTAAAAATTTTTTTTGTATCCTTTTTTTTTTAAATATATATATATAAAGTTCACTAAAAGAGGATGAATATATATTATACATGAACCCTTGAAGGGAATTATTAATTTTTAATTATTTTTTTTTTTTTAAAAAAATTTTATGTATATAGTTATATCAACAAACCGGCTCATAACGTCTCGAGTCGACACTAAGTCCGGGGGTAGATCCCGATTCCTTTAGACCTGCCTTGGTAATTGCAGAATAAGAAAGAGGGGTCTTTGGTGCTGTTTCGGATGTCTTTGTGGGAGACATTTCTTGAGAAGGAGCTTGATCATTTTCCATATTAAAGACAAATTCATCATCCATAAAAGGACTAAATAGATCTGTAGGTGGTGAATTTCGCCCATTTCCATTATTTGTACCACCATTTGGTCGGCTTATCGGGCCAACCTCAGGACGGAACAGTAAATTATTTTCGGAAGCTGCAGCATGAAAATCATGAGGTAAAGGTAAAGGTATATTGATTGCCGGAGTTGTCCCCGGGAAACTTTGGAATTCATTCGGATAATTGGCTGGAGAATAAGGAACATTATTAGGGTGTAAAGGACTTAAAGGAGAAATTTGATCATTCCATTCTTCGAAATTTGTATTAATAGTAATATTTCTAACATTATGATTATTAGGAAAGAATGAATTCGGACCAAACCCAGTTGTATTCAAATGTTGACCATCATTTTGATTCATGAAATTTGAAGTCAATCCTACACTAACACCAGTAGGCAAAGACCTTCCGTAAGGGATATGTGCATGATCTACGCGTGAATTGTAATAATTATGATGTGGTCCATCTGCATGAACTGGATGCAAAGAAGAGGAACTACCCTCTTGTCTACTACGACGTCTTTCACGTTCTGTAGGTGTTAATAAATCCCTTAAAGAAGCAGGAATATATTCTTCATAATCGTAATTACACAATTCATCGACGAGGGACTCGTCATGTTGTTGATATTCAGGAATACTATGAAGTTGTTGATGAGGATTTGTAGTTGGAGAAAGAGCACCACTATCACTAACGTAAGACACGGGAAAAAAAAGGGATTTTGTTCCTGCTGGTTGGAAAGGAGAAGTTCCGAAAGTTTCCAAACCAAATATATCTGGTAATGACCTACGTTGTTGCCCTTGAATATTTACAGGTGCGGATAAACGATCGTTATTAAAACTTGCAGCAACGTTACGCAATCTATTTGAGGAATTGCTTTCATCGGAAAATGGATTATAATCATTCAATGAAGCCGTTAACTGGCTATATGGTCTACTATTTGTTGAATACTCGGATGGACTTATTGGAATCCGAGCGAAGGGAACTCCAGGTGAATTCAAAGGTTGGTATTCATTGATATCCTGACCGTAATTTTGAGGGGTCATAATAGGAGATCTAATTTCTGGAATAATGGACCTTGATGGACCATTTTTTCCGTTTCTAACATTAACACTTGACTTACGTTCATTTGGTAAAGTATGAGAAAGAGCACATTTGCTTCCAAATTTACAATTTCCTTTTAAGAAGTACTTGCAAACATAATTATCGGATGGGGGTTCTTTACTATGCGAAAAGACACAGTTTTTTCCAGCGGTACATGCTCCACTTTTGAAGAATTTACATGGAATATGAGCCAAGTTACTATTACCTATAATAGAAGTCATTTGAATGAAATGAAAAATAAAGAAATTATTAAATATTAATTATTTTAAATAATAAATATAAATACATAAAGTATAAATGAATATAATTATTAAAATATAGATTGATGATAAAAAGTCTAGTAATTTCATTCATTTTAATTTTAATAATAAAAATAAATGTAATGATGCGATGGGGCTAAATGACTATTCTTGTGATCTATTGGCCAAAAAATTTTAAATCCGCCGGGAAATAATAAGAGCTTGATTTATTTATCAAATGGGGAATCACAAAATGATATTATATCGAATAGATACGTTTCACAACAAAGGAAGAAAAAAAATACGTAGTAAAGTTCAATCCACTTAAAAGCTAAATATTTATCACTTGTCGGTTACAATAATATTTTGTTCTTTTTTTTTTTTTTTTAAAAAAAAAAAAACCCCATTATCGAATTATTAAGAAATTATTTTAAAAGTTCATGATTCTATCCAAATTTAGAAATACTTACTCTTAGAACCGTTGGACTTTCCATCAGAAGTAGTATTCTGATTATTTCCTTTATTATTATTATTATTATTATTATTGTTATTATTCCTTCTAGGAGGTTGAGAAGAAAAACCTGGAGCACCGCTACCTGTAGGAGTAACGGGAGCAGAGATTGCCTGGGAAATTGGACTAGTCAAAGGTTCTTGAAAATTGAAAAGAAAAGCTTCGGAAACCGAGGTAGGTATGGAAGGGGATGTTACGATTGAAGGTATGTTTAGAAAATTGTTGTCTATTTGTCTTGTGTATTGAGAAAGAATCGAGGGAGGGTTTGGAAGTGAAGTTGCTTGTATATTTTGCATATTGATAAAAGTGACGATGGCTTTTGTGCTTTCAGCATGCGTTTTATATTAGTAGTTCTATTTATATATATATATATATTTTTAAGTTAGTTTATACTTTTCAGAGTTCTATTTTTTTATATATAATTTTGGCTATAGAACAAAAATAGTAATAGTACTTTTGAGGAGAAAAGTAACAAAAAGACAAAAGAAATAATTACAAATATATAAAAGTTTAAAAAATTTTGGGGGGGATAAGAATATAGAGAGAGAAGGGAAGTGAGGGACGACAAGGTGCAGAGCTTTGAAACGACGTAAATTGAATGTTGAGTGACTATCTAACTTGCCTCTTTGAATGGGGATGACAAAATGAGTTGCTCGAGTGTGTGTAACAAAACTAAAAGAGAAATACACCCTGTGTGTTGTTGTGGCAATTAGTTATAACAGGATACACACAAGGGAACATGTAAACGCACTATTTTGTTTCTCGTTGTGCAAAAGAAATTTTTATGGGATTAATTGGAAGAGAGATTATAATTATTTGAATTGTTTGTTTAATAAATTTTTTATACAGCATTTCAAATTTATTTGAAATAAAAGATTAAAAAAACAAATATATTTATTCTAAAGTGGTTAGATTAATATTTTCTAAATATCAATAAAGAACGCCCAATATATTTATATTAAATATTTTTCATACATTCAATATAATAATTTTTATTGTATCCATGATATTAAGTTAAACGACATTTGATCGCGTGGCGGAGACATCTCGAGTTTTATTTTGATCACATTATTATTTTATTATTTATATTATCCATGTATTTTATGTATGTATAATGTATATTATCGTCATGTTATTCATCATTGGTTTCATTGGTGGCGTTAACCATATTATTAATAATATCTGATTAAAAAAATTTGTGCTGATCAAACTTTAAAGTCCCTGAATTGACATTACTGAATTTGACTTGACATAAGCTTATGCTGCGGTGATAAATTCAATTCGGTTTATAAAAACGGTAATTTGATGGGTGATGAAAAAGTATAATTAATCTCCTTAATTAATAATCTTAAAGATAATAATTTAGACTCCTCTTTACTCCTTACCTCTGTGTAGCTTAACCTGTTTGCGTGTCGTGTTTTATAAATTGCATCCTGCAAAAAAAAATACACTTTTTTTTCATTGGATCTTTATATTTCTCATTAGTGTAAGTATATATATACTGTATATATATTTCCATCTGCGCCACGTTAATTAATTACAGTGCATACATAAAGAGGCTGATGATAAACTCTTTCCTATTGGGTCAACACTTATGCATTATAAAGGAATCAATTCTTTTCCCGCTCACACGACAGAACGATCGCAAAATTTTCATTTTTATGCAAATTAAATGAATTTCGTGTTGTGTTTTTTGTACGGCATTGATAATTTAGAATTTATTTTGTTTTTTTATTATTTATTTTTCATTCGTTTTTTATTATTGTACTTGCTAGTAATCGACAAATAAAGGGAACCGCCAAAATCTTATATATGGAAAAAAAAATAAGGATTTACCTCACATACTTATTAAACCAACCGTTCGAACATTCCAGAATAAAAAATTAATATTTTTCATATTGCTAATTTATTTTGATGACTAATATAGTTTTGTGTGAATTTCCCTTTTAATGAATATATATATATAAAGGAAAAGTAAGTTTGACAAACACAATACTTACATTTCTAACAAACCAACCTAGCCTTCATCTAATAATGGATCAATTTTTCTTTTAATAAACAAGGGAAAAATAACTATCATAATTTTTTTTCTTCAGAGTATTTTTAGGTATATACTTGATATTAGAACTGTGATAAACTTATATGGATATATTTTTATAGTGAAAAAATTAGTTTACTTATTTAATCTACAAATGGTTTTCTGTTACTGTATTCCAGTGTATAGAATAGTAAAGCATTAGCATTCTTATTAGTTAATAAAAATAGTTTTCTGTTATTACAGAGTAAAACAGAACAGTAGTATTCTTTAAGTATTCTAAAGGCAAAAGATATAAAATGTTATCTATTTAAGTAACAAATAGATATAATACTATTAGGTACTTGATATTTATTATAAATAGTTTTACATTTATTTGATATTTGATATATAATATAAAATATTTTTATTTAATTTTTTAAAAAAATATTATATCTATCTGTTAAATAAGCATTATAATTATATTTTCTAAAAAAATTAAAAAAATGTAAATCAATTATTACTACTTTTTAAAATTGTTTTCACATTTATGCTCTAGAAATTTTCACTTGATTACAAATATCTTGAAACATTTTTAGAACCTGAAAAATGAAATAACATATATTTTAAAAGTTTTACTTAATTACAAATATCTAGAAACAGTTTTTAAAATTTGACATATTGTTAAGTTATGCTCTAGAAATTTTAACTTGATTGCAGGTATCTATAAATATTTTTTAAAATCTGAAAAAATGATGTAACATATTGTTTTCACATATATCATAGTTTATAGTAGAATAATTTATTTAAACATGTTGTCAAAAATAAAAAATCTTTAATTCAATTTTTAAAATTTTAATTAAAACATGTTGTTAAAAATAAAAAATCATTAACTCAATTTCTGAAATTTTAATTATCTATATAATTGTATTAAATAATTTATCAATGTTATTTTCACATTTGATTACAAAAACATTATTAAAAATTTATAACATTTACAAAACAAAATATAATAAAAAAAAATTTTTTTTATATTACAAAAATATATCAATTTAAATTTGATTATAATTAATTAATTGATTATGTAAGATTTTATAATAATTTATATAATATATCATTAAAAAATTTTAATAGATAAAGATTTCTAGAGAATTTTTGTTACTAGTGAAAATATTTAGAGAATTTTTTATATTCTTTAATTTTATTTATAATTTATAAAGTATAAAATAATTTTCTTTCTAAAATAAAAAGAAAAACTTTGTTCTTAACTACAAAATAATATATGTTTAATTTAATAATATTGATATTTGTAAAGTATGCTAATTTAAATAAAAACATATGAAAAAATTATATAAAAATTTTTTGCAAAATTTTTTTATAGATTTTTTTTTTAAACTATAATAATTTTACAAATATCAATATTATTAAGATAAAATATATATTATTTTGTAGTTAAGAATAAAGTAATTTTATATATATATATATATTTTTTTTAAAGTTTCAGTGAGGCCTTGCTCCAAATTTATTTATTAAGAAAATAGTAAGTTTTTCATTATTACATAATGTAAATATCTAACTTATCCTAATATTATT